GCGACGTCGCGGGCGCCCGACGCCAGCGCCAGGGCTCCACGGGGAGGCGCCCCGCCGGCCCTCCGCCGGCGAGAACGGGGCGGCGCAGGAAGGCGAGCGGGAGGAAGTCAAGCAGGGGCGCGGGTCCCAGCCGCAAGTGCCGCGGCGCCCCGGGGCCGCTGGGCCGGCGCCCGAAAACAAGGCCCGGCGCGGCGCCTCCGGGCCCTTCCTCTCGGCCTCTCACCCCACCGCACTCACTCTGCCACACCACGCTCTTCAGCCCCCGCTCCGTCACCGGCGGCGCCATCTTCCCGGCGCTGGAGAGGGCAGCCGCCGCCGCCGCCGCCGCCCACTCGCGACGACTCGGGCCCAGAAAGCCGCGCTCGCTGGCCCCGCCCCCGCCGACCGCGCCCCCCGTGACGTCAGGGCGCCGCCCACGCCTGGACGGAGGCTGCGCAGTGCGGGCGGGCCGCTCGCGGGAATCGAGCGCCCTCTCGCGGCAGGATGCCGGCCGGGCTTTAGCCGTCCTGGGGGCGCGATGCACGAAATTATGAATTTACACACATGCGTGAGGAAGCCGGGAGCCTTCGCTTACAAAACAATGCTTTGCGAAGGATTCATAATAGGCTTCCCTCAGCAGGCACCTCAACTACTGAGTGAAAAAATCTACTTTCTCGCTAGAAGTTACTTTTATGCATTTTTCAAAGACACAGTAATTGTGTAGAACTAGGATGTACCATTCAGTGTCCCCAGAATTGTGGGCTAAGCTTTTGAGAAACTCAAAGAAGTGAGAAACCCGTTTCCCCCTGAAGAATTCGAGCACAATTCCTGGCATGTGGTAGTCCTCAAACATGGGTTTAAAAGGTGGGTGCTTTGAGGATACAAGATAAATTAGTCAATAAAACCACTTAACAAGTGTGTGCAACAAACGTATACAGGGGCTATCAATGCTTTAGGATCCAAAATTATTGTTGAAAGGCGATTAACAGAGGAGGTGATTTGAGCTCAAGCTTAGCTGAAGCAAAGATACATTTAGGGAGTTATTTGGGGACTTAGAAGTACATCAGCCATAAAGTAGCTCAGTTTAGTTGCTGGTAGCTCTAGGACATGACCATCAGGTACACGGGCAAAAAGTAGACATTCCCAGAGGGGTTTACAAAGGAGCAATAGTTTTAAAGTTTCAGCTTGGTCACAGTGGAAATGGTTAGTTACACTAGTACTTACTGAGTGTTTATCATTTGCCGTCACCATGCAAGCTCATTGATCTCCAAAGCAGTCCTTATAGGTGTGGAAACATTTAATACAGTTAAACTAATGGCCAAAGATGCACAGCTAGTGCTAGAGTAGAACCTGAGCAGACATGGCCCACACAGGAAGCAGTGGAGCAATTTGTGGGATGACCTGCAATTTTCAGGAAAGAAAAGGAGAAGCGAGAATAGAAACCATAAACTGGGTGTGGTGGTTCATGCCTGTAATCCCAGCACTGGGGAGGCTGAGGTCCTGTTCTGAGTTTGAGACCAGTGTGGGCTACAAAGTGAGCTCAAGGCCAGCCTGAACTACATAGCGAGAACTTATCTCAAAAAGGGAAGGGATGAGGACATAAAATTGGCGTGAATAGATTTTTTTTTTCAGTACCAGGAATCAAACTCAGGCATGAATAGATTTTTTGCTTGAGGTTTACATGGGAATAGAAGCTGGAGTCCTGTCCTTCCTTAAGCCTACTTTAAATCATTATCCATTCTTTTCAGTTTCAAATTGGCTAAATTAGTTTTGTCTTCCCCCATGTGGACTTGGCTGTCTTCTGTGGAATTTGGACCAAAGTAGCTCACCTTTAGATGCCTGGCTAAGCAGGTGGTCGCTCGAGGACCCGAGATCCTAGCCTTCCATTTGGCCTTTCCCTGGGCTTTTTGTCCGAATTAGACATGGTCACAACTCCATTTCGAGGGGACACCCTGCCAGCAACATAGTCTCAATGGGCCTGGGCTGCTCCCCATGACGCAGGCCCAGTTCTGTATATCAGGGCCGCCTTGCATGGGCATGGACATTCTCAGATCCCTCCGGATTTCACTAGTCTTTCCTCGCCGACCTCAAGCCCAGAACTTCTTAGCCTCCCACCACCAAAACTGTGCTTCAAAGAATACCGTAGGGAGGCAAACCCTTCAAGTTTCCCTGACCTGGGGTGGGGATGCAGCTGAGTAATGGCTGAGCACTTGCTTAGCATGTGTGAGGCCCTGAATTTAATAGCCAGCATTGAAGGGAAAAGGGTTCCCTTATCTAGCTACATGTCAAAATCACATAACATGTTAAAGCTTGTTAAAAACATGGCTCCCCAGACCTACTGAATTTGAATCTCTAAGGATGCTGCTCAGGAGTCTACATGAATAATCAGTTCTCCTGAGTGATGCTGATGCATCCAGCCCAACCAAACTCCTGTTCACTCACTAATGCTTAGGAACGAAAGTGAGTGAAACACAGCCTTCCTCTGTGCATGCTCCGGGATGCATCAAACTCCACTCTTAAGGATCAGTGTCATTGGTCTGCCACCCTTTCAAGTACAGATGCTCCGGTGAAAATCTATCAGTGACACATCCCCTTCTATCCCGGAGAACAGTTTGATAGATTATCTCAGAAAAGGAAAGAAAACATAAGAAGGGAAGTTTGGCCTTCCTTCCATGCCAATCTCCAACCTACCTTCATGCTCTGATTCTCACTGGGCAGCATTTTAGGGTTGTTCTTAGCCATAGACATCCCTGGTTTCCTGGCTGTGCTTTGGGGGAGTAAATACCATTCTCTCTCTCTCTCTCTCTCTCTCTCTCTCTCTCTCTCTCTCTGTGTGTGTGTGTCTGTGTGTGTTTTACAAAAGTCCTACTCAAACTATTTTTAATTAGGTTCCTGGCATTAGAAGGATAAACATTTTTTTGGGTGCAACAGATTTATATTATATACCATTGCCTTTCCTCTCCAAAGATGAAAAGAGCAGTACTATGCAAGTGGGGAAGTGTGGGCACAGCCAAGAGTCACGTCCCTCCCCCCAGGACGACGTGTCTCATTCAGGAGTCCTGAATCTGTTCCTACTCAAGGCCCACCCTCGGCTGACCCTGCATCTGACATTTTGCTCGCACAGAAAGCTCAACTGCAGTCCTTCCAGCAAAGCTTTCCCAGACATTCCCTCAGAAGTCAAACCATGTGACACTTTGGCTCCACGAACCCTGCAGGCTGCTCAGCTTCACACACACACACACACACACACACAGGCATTTGTCACCACAGGTCGCCCCGCGGCTGCTGCTGCGACCCAGCCTGCAGGCGCGGCGGGGCGCGTCCCCGGCTCAGCGCTGCCCTCCTGTGGTTGGTTTGACTTCGCTGGACGTGCGCGTCGCCAGCCTTGTGCGGCTCGCGGCAGCGCAGCAAGCGCTGGTGTTAACGGAGCCCTCAAGCAGAGGACGTGTGGAGTCTGCAGGATCCCTGGGTGTGAAACCTCAGCATCTCTGCTCAGCAGAGTTTTTCTGCTTCCAGGCTCTGGCAGTGCCTTCTCTCGGAGGACTTTCTGGATCCATTTCTCTGATCTTCTCTGCAGCTGAGCTTGAACTCCATGGTGGGTGATGCCGCACCTGACCTTGAGTTACTTTCCTCAAGAACAAAAGGGTCTTTGCAATCTTAGAGGGGTTTTCATATTCTAATAGGTGTTTTCCATTTCTAGTCACTAATAATTGGAACAGGCCTGCAAAAGAAATGGGAAGAATTTTTTTTCTTTCTGGAACCAAGGATTGAACTCAGGGCCTTGCGCTTGCCAGGGAAGCGCTTATTCCACTGAGCCATCTCCCTGGCCCTTCTTCTTTCTTATTTCCGAGGGAGTTGGAAAGGTTTGCAGAAGAGGGGCTCGGCCAACACCCTGGGCCTGGCGCCACGGGGCCCACAGGGGAGCAGGCAGAATTTTGTTATTTATTTATTTATTTATTTATTTATTTTGATGGAACCAGGGATTGAACTCAGGCCCTTGCGCGTACCAATAAGAATAGACTAAGCAATAACTGCTTATTCTACAGAGCCATCTCCCCGGCCCGCAGGGAAGAATTGTTTAAACAAAGACAAAATTTTCTGTGCAGTCACACAAAATCAGATTACATCCCCACTACTTACATGGCCAAGTTGGTTTTTATTTGGGGCTTGCGGTGTCACTTGGCCTTGCTCTTCCCTCTGTAAATCACTGGAAAGGCAAGGGAAGGAAGAGGGAGCCAGGTGAGCTACGTAGGCAGACAGTGTCTTAAACTAAAAAGCAGAAATGTCACTGCGAGTTTATTAGTGTGTGGGTTTGAAATACAGCGTTTGCACAAGTTATGAGGAAACTGAAATGATCTGAACTGGGTAAAGGGCAGCTATTCAAACCGACCGGCAGTTTCCTACTAACCAGGGCCATCTCTCTCCTGCTTCGCGGAACCTATCCTCCTACAGAGCGTCTCAATCTGACCACTGACTCGGGACAAGAAACTTCCCTTTCCACGCACAGGGCCGCTTGCTGTGTGCCTCCTGGATGCCAGTGTTTCATCCATTCAGGAAGTCGTGTAGGAGGAGCATAAAACTGTTTGTCTGCGCATGAAATTTCCTCAAAGTTCCCTGGCATGTGCAGATAAGAAACAGACTGGGAACTGAAGGCGAAGGATGGCGCACGGGGCGAAATCAGGCACGAGCCCCTCCACTCGCCACCTCCTAGAGCTTTCCCCTCCCTCACAGCCTGCATCAAATCTCCAGCATCATCCTGGCTTAGTAGGGGTTTCCAACGTTAGTGTGTGCTGGACTCACTTGGAGGACTTGTCAAAACCAAGCTGAGGAGGCCCTCTCCAGAACTGCTGAGGCGGCAGTAGCTCTTTGATGGAGCCCCAGACATTGCACTTTTATAAGACAGGGTCTTGTTATGTAGCACAGGCTGGCCTTGAACCCGCTGCGTAGCCCAGGCTGGCCTTGAACCCGCTGCGTAGCCCAGGCTGGCCTTGAACTTGCTGCGTAGCCCAGGCTGGCCTTGAACTTACTACGTAGCCGAGGCTGGCCTTGAACTTACTGCGTAGCCCAGGCTGGCCTTGAACTCGCTGCGTAGCCCAGGCTGGCCTCAAACTCATGGCTATCCTCCTGCTTCAGCCTCCGGAGTGCTGGGATTACAGCCATGCACAGGAAGAAATTGCATTTCTAAGTGGCTCCCAAGTGATGCCGGTGTTGTTAGCCCCTGGATCACACTTTGAGAACTAAGAAATTATGGTATTATTGAAGTTGAGGTGAAAATGTAAATACCTTAGCTAGAACTAGCATATTAAAATGTTAACAAATGGTATATAATGTGAATATGATATGAAATAAAATTTATCCTGTATTAATAGCTACCACTTACAGTGAATTTACTACTTGCTATGGGCCTGTCACTGTGTCCATTTAGTCCTCATTACATTTTATGAAGTGATTATTATTCTAATTTTCAGATGAGAAAACCTAGGCTTAGAATTGGGACAATTTAACTAAGAAGAAATGATTTCCTCGAGATTTGAATCCATGGGCCGGCCGGGGTAGCTCAGTGGACTAAAGCACCTGCTTAAGCAGAGCGCAGCAGTTGGGGTTCGATCCCCACCCCCAGGGCACGTTGACAGTGATTGAGACTGGGTGTGGTGGCATATGCCTGTAAACCCAGCGCTTGGGAGGCTGAAAACAGGAGAATCACTGCAAGTCCAATCTGTGCAGTAAGACTCTATAGACACTATCCAAAAAAAAAAAAAAAAAAAAAAAAGTTGAATCCAAATCTGGTTTTCCTAGAAAGCCACTTCATGCAGCTAGCAAGTTTAGGATAATCCAACAGTCAAGGAAAGCCAAAAGTGTTAGGCCAGCAGGACTCCAAGGCTCCCAGAGCACAGCCTTAGGTTCCACCTTAGCCAGGTCCTGCTTTGACTTGTGTACAAGAAGGAGATGCTGAAATTGGAAACAACAATTTAGAACTTCCTCCCATGTGTAGTGATTTCTGTACAACTGTAGAGGCCCTCAAATGACCCAGCTTACTCCATTTTTTTTTCTTTTTTTTGTGGAACCAGGGAGTGAACTCAGACCCTTGCGCTTGCCAGGGAAGCGCTTATTCCACTGAGCCATCTCCCCGGCCAGCTTACTCCATTTTTGAGAATCATGCAGCATCTCTTTAGGCATCTCCTTGGACAGAGACTGATTAAGGACAGGAAGCGCCAAGATAAGCTACAGTCCAGAGAGACACAGAATAGGGAAAATGGCGACCTGAGGCAGACTTCGCAAGCGAAGTCAACTTCAGAACCACTAACAAACCTGAGAGAAAGATACAGAAGCACTTCAGCCAAATGTGGCCTGGGCCTCTGCATTCTTTAATACATTTCCAGGACCTTCTGCTGTATACCAGAGTTTGAGAAGCGTTAGCTAAGCAGGACTTCCCACAGTTGAGCACACAGGCAAGTCCCTTGAGGATTTAGTGGGTCGGGCTAAGGCCTGAGATGGAACCTTTTTAGCACACTCTCAGGCGATACAGGTAAGTGGAAGCTCTAGGAACAATGATTTTCCAGCTTGTTTAGTGTTATTTTTATTTCACTTTTTTAAGCACTGAAACTCTTCTAACAGAAAAGAGAGATCAATCGGTAATATCCCATCCCTCGCTTGCTAAAGGCCCTCAAGCCATTTCTTCCTTTTTGCTTTAATTCTGAGGAAGACATGTATAAAACAACCAAGCTACTCAGGAGGCTGAGGCAGGAGGATCACAAGTTCAAGGCTCCTCTAGGCACCTTAGCAAGATCCTCTTTCAAAATTGAAACATAAAAGGGCTGAGGATTTACCTCAGGGGTAGACTATCCCTGGGTTCAGTCCTAGTACTACAAGACCAAACAAGTGTAATACTGAAAATAGGCTCTAAGGCCACACATGCAAGTCTGTGTACATTTCCCCGATCGTAAGGGCTCATGGTCACCAGAACTACTGCCACAACTATTGGTGGCAGTAGAAACAGAGCCTTGCACATGCTGAGCAGGCGTTCTACTGATAAGCCCACTCCAGCTCCTAAAGTAATTTTTAATATAATTAGAAGTTTCCTTGGTTTGTTTTCACTAAGCCATGTCTGTTTTCCTGTAGCCATAGGAAACAAAAACTCTTGAAACATTAATGGGGATTGTGCTTATTTTAGACCTGTAGGGGGAGGGGGCTAGGGCAGGAATTGGAAAGTGTGTGCCCTGCTGTGTTTAGAGAAGCAACGGATGGAGAGGAAATGAGCCCAGGCAGAGCCCAGGCGGTGGGCACGGACTCCAGACCCGGCCCTGGCGGTGGGGGCAGCCCCTGAGTGGGGAGCTGACCCCCGCGGAGGCTGGCAGCTAGGGAAGGCTTCATGGCCTCTGCAGTCAGCCTTGGCTGCCTGGGAGCAGCGGGGCTCTGTAGTTGGGGATTGATCATATTCTCTGGGGTTCTCCTAAGGCTTCAAACCATGTTCTTCCCTGCAGGAGCGTGACAGGAATTCTTCATGAGGTGCATGACTACCTCCTGGGTCCTCTCCACCCCGCGGCCCAGGAGTAACCTCCATGGGGGCAACCAAAGGAGCCAGGAAGAGCAGCCTGAGCAAAAGTGAGTGGGCACTGAGGGTTATTTTCACACCCTTCTGCACCCCTTTCCACTGGGCATATCCACGATGCAAACCAGAAGCAAACAGCGTCGCTCTTGGCAGACGCCCCAGTTCCCTCTTGCCCCGGACTACTGGGGCCTGGTAGATCAGTAGCACAGGTATCACCAGCACTGCTGGGACCCTGCTGAAGGTGCGTTCTCACGCCTTGCCACTCCTACCAAAACAGAATCTGGCTTCAACCCTGCCTGACTAGTTTGGAGGCCTAAGATGTTTCAGAAGTCCTGCTCTACAGTACTCAGCCTGGGTTGCCTTGTGACGTGTCGTCTGAGGGGCTTTGAAGAACCCTGATTCTTAGGCCCAGCAAGATAGCTCAGCGGACTAAGCACCTGCTTAGGCAAGTGCAGGGACCAGAGTTTGATCCCTGGCACCACATGCTGTGCCAGCCCCGCCCCCTGGTGCACTGAGTAGGCCACCGAGACTAGTGGTGGTGAATGCCTGAAATCCCAGTGCTGGGGAGGCTGAAAACAGAAGAATCACTGTGACTCCAAGCTGCATAATGAGAACCTATACCAAATTCATTTTTCAAAGAAGAAAAAGAAAAGAATCCTGATTCTTGGTGAGGCATGGAGATGCATGCCGGCATCCCTGGCATTCTAGTAAGCTGAGGCAAGATGTTCACAAGTTTGGTTTGAGTCCAGCCTGGAAAATTTAGTGAGACTTTGTCTCTAGAAAAAAGTTAAAAGGGGCTAGAAATATAGCTCAGTGGTAGGGTAACCCAGAGTCAAGTCCCCAAACTGGAAAAAGAAAAGTCCTGATGTCATTACCCTGAACCAGGTAATCAGATATTTCCAGGGACAGAACCCAGGCATTGGTTAATTTTAAATTCTACAGGGTTGAAAACAACCTTTTGAAGTAGGAGGGATTAAAGAATGCTGCCTCTGAAAAAATTTACTTTTTTTTTTCTGTAGGACCCCAGGAAAGACTTCAGAGTCCCAAGGAATTCATATTGATCCGTGGAATCTGAGGATATCACTAGGAGAGAGGAGAAAAAGGTATGGGATGGGCACATCCTTACGTCAAAGAAAGAAATCCTTTGCTTTGCTGATTGTGGAGTCAGTGTCCAACCTGACTTCATTGAGTAACACCAGAATTCAACAACAAAGAGTCCCTTCTACCTTATCCGTGAAAAAAAATGGCTTACCCATTCCAAGTGTACTTCCAGAGCAGGTTACTGTAATAAAGAAAAATACAAGTACTGAAAATATGTTTATTGATTTATTAAAATAGCAAAGATATAACTTAAATCCCTGGTTCTGCCACAAAAACAAAAACAAAACAAACAAACACAAAAAAGATATAACTTAGAAAATAAAAGGGACATGAAGCAAAGAAAGATTAAGAAGAAAAAAGAAAGATTAAGAACTTTGGGTGAGGGGGCCAGGGAGATGGCTCAGTGGAATAAGCGCTTGCCTGGCAAGCCCAGGGTCCTGAGTTCAATCCCTGGGACTGCAAAAAAAAAAAAAAAAAAAAAAAAAAAGTAAAAAAAGAACTTTGGGTGATAAGAGGAGCTACCTATCAGCAATATGACCTTGAACATGTCACTTCACTGTGCCTCAGTTTACCCATAAAGTGGTAGGAATGCCCCCTCATATGTTTGTTATAATGTTTAGAAGGCTTAATACATGCAGTGCTCTTAGGATAGCACCAGCCCATAGCGCTCAGTTGGCCTTCACTATAATTGAATAGCGAATCGCTATTCACCGACATTGAAACAAACAGAAACACTTCTCGCAGCCATGATTTTTACCTGGGAGACTAAGCAGTGGTGAATTACTTAATAATAGACACTTAATCCTCACCACGACAAAATGACTGCAGGCTGGAGATGGCACCCCACCAAGAGAATCAGGGTGCCAACCCACCAAATGACTCCCTACGGACTGAACTGTGTCCTTTAAGTACAAAGGAAAGACAAAAACAAACTATGTTTGGTTTTGAGCCTTTAATAAAAGTAAACTATGAATGCAAAAAGAATACAATGTTGAAAACTTAGTATGAAATGGGACTCTCACTAGATGTTCAAATCTGGTGTAGTGCAAATTTTGCTCATGTTGTTTTATATTTTTACAAATGCAAATCACTTTGGTTCAACATGTTTGCTATGAACTATTGGCAGAAAATGTTTTCAGTTTCACATATGTTGGCTACATTTTTCTAACAGTAGAGATTTACTTCCAGTATAAGAGAAAAGAACATGAGACTGGGCATGAAACTGGGCATGATGACACGCACCTGTGATCCTAGCGCTTGGGAGGCTGAAAACAGGACCCTGTACTAAATATGAGAGAGAGAGAGAGAGAGAGAGAGAGAGAGAGAGAGAGAGAGAGAGAGACAGACAGACAGAGACAGACAGACAGAGAGAGACAGACAGAGAGAGAGACAGAGAGACAGACACAGACAGAGACAGACAGACAGAGACAGACAGAGACAGAGAGACAGAGAGACAGAGAGAGACAGACAGAGAGACAGACAGAGAGACAGACACAGACAGAGACAGACAGA